TCCACTTTTCCAAGTCTCCAGTGCATGTCATTCCACCTTCTATGTCCATGTATGCAGATTATTTAGCTTCCACTTACGAGTAAGAATGTGGTATTTGACTTTCTGAGTTGTTTCACCTAAGATAATGACCTCCAGTTCCGTCCATGTTGCTGTAAAAGACATGGTTCATTCTTTTTCTTACACCAGTAATATCTTTAGATCTCTCTCTCTCTCCCCCCTCTCTCTCTGTCTCTCTCTGTGTGGGTGCATGTGTGAACACATTTAAAATATCAAAAATTCTTCACCAACAAAAGACCGCAGAACTCATGAATTCCCACTATGAGAAAAAGACTTAAAATATGCTTGGTTTCTAAAGCTTTGCTTATGTGACTACTGTAGATTTCCTGTTTTTCTTGTGTGCCGAGGAAACTAAAGCCACCTGGGAGTGGTATCAAGAAGAAAGCCCGTGAAGCCTTCCAAGATGGGGAAGACAAAAGAAAGCTGGCAGGATTGTGCTTGCTAAGGTGTGTCTGCGCAGTATCCGTGATTTTTTCTGACCTTCTCTCACCCCCGCACCCAACACCCATCGTCAAACTCACATCAGATGATTCAGACATGGCTCTGCTAACACTTTAATAATAGCATGGATTAATTTTAGTTTCAAGTTTAGTTTTACTGCACCACCCCATTTGTGGAAAACAACTAGCTTACTCAGCATTTTTTTCCTTTTATAAAGGAGGGAAAGAACAGAAAAGTAGTAGGAGGAAAGAGAACAAGAGGTGAGTGAGGCAACTGAAGACTGCTCTTGGACCTGCGTTGCTGTAGGGCAGGTATGTTACCTTTCTCTTAAATGCAAGTTAGTCCCTAACTCAAGACTTGGTTTCTGATTAAGAGTGGCAACTGAGGAATGGGCAGGAAGGGCAGGGTGCCTGCTGCCTGGCCTGCAGGAGTCTGTGGCTGCCTTTAGTTCTGGGGAAGCTCAGCTTCTCCACTTGAACCAGTGATAGTTAAGCGGTGACAGCCAGGCACACCGCGACCCCCTGGGTGTGCTCCTCCCTGATCATCAACTCAGGACAGCAGTGAGTGGCCTGGAAAGAACTCTGGTGGGCGCCTGCCTGACTACCTCTAACAGGCCCTGTCGCAGGCCCCAGAATGCAGAGGACAAGGAGCTTCCAGGCAATTATACCTGAAGGGAGAATTTCTTTTCTATCTTTCTAGTGATCACACTTAGGAAAGCTTCAGAATAAGAGCTCTATAAATCTCTGCGTAGAAATAAACTTAGGCCCCACATCGCTGGTCTTTATTACTTAAAAATAATTACATAGTCGAAACTCTGTGTGTGTGTGTGTGTGTGTGTGTGTGTGTGTGTGTGTGTGTGGTGTTAGTTTCCCATAGGAACATCTGAGTCACTTGTAGCTCTTGCTAAACAGATAGATACTTAGGCCTGGGAATCTGGGTTTGAACAATACTCTCAGGCGATTCTTTTTAAAAAAAAAAAAAAAAAGGCAAAAAGAAGAAGAAGAATAGAAACTACTTTTAAAATAAAGAAGATTTTTTTTAAACCACCATGTCCCATGGTGGTTGGCTGCACCTATCAATCCATCATCTAGGTTTTAAGCCCCGCATGCATTAGGTATTTGTCCTAATGCTCTCTCTCCCCTTGCCCTCCACTCACCAACAGGCCCCAGTGTGTGAGTTTCCCACCGTGCTGCCCAGCCCCCCGTGTCCATTTGTTCTCATTGTTCAACTCCCACTTAGGAATTAGAACATGCAGTGTTTGGTTTTCTGTTCCTTTGTTAGTTTGCTGAGAATGGGATCTTATTAAATTAAAGACCTGCACAGCAAAAGAAACTATCATCGGAGTGATCAGGTGATTCTTATGTACATCAGAGTTTGAAAACCAGTCCTGACTAGGATTGAACAGCTGTATTTCATTTGGTAGAAGTCAAAAGGTCTGTGGTTCCCACACAGCTAAGAAACCAGAGGCCTGGTTTATATAAAGTTGTTTGCAGGAGCAGCCACATCTTCCTAGAGCTTCCTTTATTGTTCACTATAAAGAAGGGACTGTACAGTTGCAGTCACTATAATGTGATGAACACGTTACACATCACATTACAATGTATTTCAGTGTGGAAATCAGGACCTCGTGTTTGATCTCCATTTTCCATACTCCCCTCAGTGAAGAATCAGACAAGAGCAGGTTGTACAGCAGCAGCGTGCTTGAACTTTACGGTTTTGCTCTCGTGGAAAATTTATTTGTAGTTTTTGTTTCTTAGTAATTTATAATTTGTTTATTTTGTTGAAATACATAATCTAATGGACCAATTGTTATTGTAATTATTGTAGCTTAACCTCCATTTAATTTAACATTTACTGAAATCCTATTTTTGTGCTGCATGCTATGCAAAGACAAACTTACAACGTCTTGTTTTATTATCAAAATACCCTCCGGGTTGGATGTATGATTTAACTCACAGACCCCTATAATTAACAGGCTCAGCTAGATGAAGCTGCTGGGTCAAGGCCACATAAGTAGTGAATGATAGAGCTGGTATTTTTGATGGGCATTAGATGCATCTTGAATGTTTGACATATCAATACAAAACTGAGTATTTGAGACATTTGAACACAATATTATTTTTACATTTTTCTGATTATAAGGAATTACAGACATCATAGAAAACAATTTTAATATAATGGCAATAAAAATGTGCCAGGAGATCTACAGAATAATTGTACTTTCAATACTAAATTTATGGAATTAAACTTCACCTCTAAAAAAATTACAATTAAATCCCATATACCTTTCACCTTGATTCACCCAACAGTGACACTGACTTTATCTCTCAAAAAGAAATCTAACTTATCTATTAATATATATGTAGACAATTTATCTATCTCTCTAGCTATCTATAATTTATCTCTCTATATAATATGCAATATTATATGTATTGTTAGTCTTATTCTTTTTCTTATTCTTATCTGTGGGAGTAAATTGCAGAGAACCTGACCCTTCTAGGCTATGTACTTCAGCCTGTAGTTGAATTCTTTAGATTCTGGACATGCTCCTGCTTCCCTTTTGGAAAGATAGCCTGTATTCTCTAGAGTTTCCTCATCCCACAGTGGATCCTTTCCCTTCTCCCTTCTATTCCCATCACTCTTCCAAACCTGTAGATAAAAGACAAACATATAAGGTCACACTGATGCATTAGAGAACAAGTTTCAGTATATGGTGATCATTAAAAAGTTACTGCGGGTTGTTGATCAAAAACCTTATAGCGTAACCATTGTCTTTGAGGTAAATTATTCTGACAGATAAGTGGTTGCAGCAGCATAACACAGAGTAATAGGTTGCCAGATTATCCAGGCTTTTGTCTTTTACTCTCTTTTTTGTTGGTAAATATACATAATAAAATTAGTATTTTATTAATTAAGAATATACTTCGGTGACAGTATATTCACATTGTTGTGCAGCCATCTTCAGAACTTCATCATGTAAACTGAGTCTCTCTACCTTTGAACGACAATTCTGCGTTCCCTCCTCCCCCAGCCCATGGTAGCTATACTTCTACTTTCTGTCTCAATGTATTTGATTATTCTAGTACCTCATACGATATGTGCTCTTTTGTGTCTGGCATATTTCACTTGGCACAATGTCTTCAAGGTGATCCATGTTGTCGCATGTGTCATAATTTCATACATTTTTATGGCTGAATAATAGCTCATTGCAGGTATATACAACGTTTTGTTAATCTATTCATCTTTTGATAGTCATTTGGGTTGTTTTCATCTTTTTTGGCTGTTGTGCATAACGCTGCCATAAACATCGATGTACAAATATCTGTGTGAGTCCCTGCCTTCAATTTTTTGGAGTGTATATGTAGAAGAATTGCTTGATCAAATGTTAATTCTATGTTTGGTTTTCCAAGGAGCCATCATACTGTTTTCCATAGGGACAATACCAGTTTATGTTCCATGGACAGTGCACACAGATTCCAAATCCTCAACATCCTAGCTAACACCTATTTTCTGTTTTGGGGTTTTGGGCTTTAAAAAAAAAAATAGTCCTAATGGGTGGGTCTAACATGTTACCTCATTGTAGTTTTGATTTTCATTTACCTAGTGATTAATGATGTTGAGCGTGTTTTCATGTGCTTATTGGCCATTTCTTCTTTGGAGAAACATCTAGTCTACTCTGCCCATTTTTGAATTTGTTTTTTTGTTGTTGTTGTTTTTTTGCTGTTGTTGCTATTGAGTTTTATGAGTTCTTTATGTATTCTATCAGAAACATGATTTGCAAATATTTTCTCCCTTTCCATAGGTTGCCTTTTTACTCTGTTGACAGTGTTCTTTGATGCACAAAAGTTTTTAATTAAGATGAAGTATGGTGTATTTAATTTTTTTCACTTGTTTTCAGTGGTTTTGGTATCACCCACAAGAAATTATTGTGTATGATGCCAGAAATCATTGTGTATGACATACCAGAAATCCAAGGTAGGCAGAACAGGTAGTTCCCAGTCAGATTAGTGTGTTACAAATAAGGTCTTTGCTCCCTCCACTTCAAGGGAAGGAATTGGGAAGTGAAACACCACCTCCTCCAAACTAAGACCATGTCGCTGAGTGGAGTGGGTAGAATTGGCAAACAAAATGCCATGGAATCTCCTACCATTTTGAATGTGCCTTTTAAAAATATTGGACATTTGCCTGGTTGCTGTAGACTTATGACTGTTTTCCAGAGCTCCTATAAGATCATTTTAGCCATTTTTTAAAGTTGTTTTGTGATGTCTCCAAGGAGAGAAGGGTTTAGAACTTCCTAGCCTGCTATTTTACTCAATTGTCCAGGTTCATAATCCTGGTTATATGATTTCTGCATTCATCATTTGTAAGACTCATGATATCATTTGCATATTCGTGGCTATAATACTCTCTAACTTGCAGATTTTTGTGCCAGTGAGATCAGATACTTAAGGTATGCATCACAGGACTTAGAGTATTAGTGGGCCCCCTATTATGGTAACAATTACTTGGATTTTAATATTACTACTGAAATAAAACTTTAAAGAAGATAACATTCCATGTTTCATCACTTAATGTCATTACAGATTTGGGAGAGTGATAAAAGAAGCCTTCCCTGCAGTCAGCTAATGCTAGATTACATATTGTCCAGTAGAAACACAGACGTCTCATCAGTCCTATGTTGATGGGTGTTTGGGAAACACTGAGACAGAGAATGACAATGTAACATTATTTCTACTGGGAGGCTCTTCTAGGTTGGAAGTTGCCATGGAATCTGGACCCAAAATGTTGGCCCCCATTTGCCTGGTGGAAAACAACAATGACAAGCTGTTGGTGAACCAGCAAGCTATACAGATTCTTGAAAAGATTTCTCAGCCAGTGGTGGTGGTGGCCATTGTAGGACTGTACCGTACAGGGAAATCCTATTTGATGAACCATCTGGCAGGACAGAATCATGGTAAGTGGTACCCTGGGACACAGGCCGGTTGCTTGATTCCAGCTATATCTCAGTTTCGTCATTCTCTACCCCAGGCACATGAAGGTAGACTCCAATTCCTTTCAATAAACCAACCTTCTCATTCTAATTCTTACCACCAAACTGCTACATTACAAGAATCCGTTCTCATATTTTTTCCCTCATTCCCATTAAGGAAACTCTCCATTACTAGTGCCCAGAATCCTAACTTCCCTTGTGTATTCAAGTCCTGGGTTCCTCTAATTGTGTCTCCTTTCTCTCAAAAAGTATTTTGCTTTCTTTATGTAATATTCCCATCAACATATGAAGATGTTTTAATCTATATAATCTTAAAAACTCTTCCTGAGTTTCACATCCCATCGTGGCCACCGACTTCTGTTTTGTTTTTGTGTTTGTTTTAGTTTTTAACCGCTTTTCAATGCAAAAAATGATCTCAATTTCCCTTTTTGAGTTTTTTTTCTCTTGTCTTTTTTCTCATGTTTGTTTCTCATGTGTTTCTTCAACCCACTCCTCTCTGACTTTGAACCCCACCACTTTTTAAGATGTTCCTTTATTAGTGACCTACATTTTGTCTGATTCATAGATTCCTCTTTGTCACCATTTTGAGTCCTTGCTTGGCATCATTCTCACATTTAGTGTCCCATGTTTTTTTATAAAGATTATTCATAAAATAAGCCATTCTTGAGGAAATACAGAAAGCACCATCTTGTATGCTGGGTTAGTTACAATCCAACCAGTCCGAATCCATGGCCCCAGGGCTGCTTGGCTGCTCTGCTGTCCCCATGCTTAGCTTCCTCCTCTTCCCTGCAGGCTTCCCTCTGGGCTCCACGGTACAGTCTGAAACCAAGGGCATCTGGATGTGGTGCGTGCCCCACCCCTCCAAGCCAAACCACACCCTGGTCCTTCTGGACACCGAGGGTCTGGGCGATGTGGAAAAGGTAAGACAGGGAGTCATAGGCAGGTTCTTTTTATTCCAGACATGATCCTTGTAATTTAATTGTTGTGATACATTTGTGAAAACTAGAAATCCAACTACAGTGAATATGGCAAACTTTGACCTGTTTGAGTCACACTTCCAGACAAGATTAGATATCATGGTACATTAGGTAAAACATTCTTTTATTTCTTGGCACAGTGGTGAATGATTTCATGGTGACCGGTGTTCTTTTTATTTCTTGCCGCTTTGATGGTGATGATTTGATTCAATTTCACCGATCATTATCAGTTAGTTCAGCCATTTGTGACGATGCATGACCATTAGTGCAGAATACAGAAGTAAAAGATCTGCTACAAAAGCCAGCCAGGTGTAGTGGTTGCAGGAAAGAAGCGTTGCCGAGGAGAAGGAGGTTGAGATCATTAGTCCCTTGCCCTCCCGTCGGGAGTTACTCCACCCTGAATCTATGACAGATGGCTGCGTTCTGTGTTTTGGATAAGTTTTCAAGTACCATCCCTGGTGCAGTCAATCACTCAGGTCTATCTGGAAAACTTTCTCATTAAAAAGTATTTCTGATCAGGCGCTCACCCAACCTTGCATGATTGTGTATATGGTGCCAAATAGAAGAGAAGTGTGTTTCAGATTCTCAGAGGTATGGAAACTCTTACATGACCTACATTCAGTACAGCAGGGGTTGGTGGAGAAGTTAGTTTATGTTTCTCAGGGATGGCTCATCAGCCCCCAGGCATTCTGGGCACAGTTTTCTGAGATGCATACTATGCCAAAATGTTATTCTTTCAATAACATCACAGACCAGTGCATTATGTTCTTCACCTGGAATAGGTGAAATAAATATTTCTCATCTTAGTTTTGGAGCTGATAAATACACTAAATTCTCTTACCACCTTACAACAACATAAAAATTATTTTATTTTGCAGCTTCAGTATTATATAATTAATAAATAAGTTATAGTGTCTTAACTTGATATTTCGGTGTGTGCCAGAGCGATCTGCATTCAAAATGATAATGCATATTGTGCGCATCATGAGTGCCAATTTCTTTTCTGTATCTGCACTTGCGCACGGGTGTGGTAGAGCAATTAGAATCTTATCAGCAGAAGTTAAGTCACGATCAATAACGTGTTGGTTTGCAGTCTGTTTGGTGATCAGTTTGTTATCTGCCTTTGAAATTTTATATCTTTGTACTGTTTATTTATTTCTCCCATCCACAAGCCATGCATACCAGCCACTATTCCACACTCCTGGCTATTCAGGGTTTGACAATTTTGACTATTTTAGTTCTTTAAATAAGTGAGATCTTCTGAAATGTTTATGTTATATGTCAGTTTATTTCACTCCAGCCTAATGACCTCAGGTGTTATCTAAGTTATTTTGACAACCATTCCCTTTTGCAGAATTGAATATATATTATATATATAATATTATTAATATTAATAATATCTCTATATATATTGGATGCAGTTAGTTGTATACCACAATCTACATCTTGGTTACAGTTCCCATAATCCCATGTCATGGGAGAAGGGATAGAGTCAAGTAATTGAATCTAAGTGAGTGGTTTACATATTCTCTGTGTTGATATTTCTAAAGCATTATGAAAAACTATAAAGTTGTACATCACAATATGTTCTTCTCTCTCCTGCTCCCATATACAGAAGATCGCATTTGCTTCCTTACATCATAGTCATAGTTTGCAAGGCCTCCTAGCTATACTGACTGTGAGTCAAGCCTTTTTCTTATAAATTATCAAATCTATTACCACACATCTTTGTTCAGGCCAAGCATGAAAATTGAATCATCATCTACATACCATATCATCATTTCTTTTTCTGCTAATTATTGGTGACATTAAAATTAGTTCTCTCATCTTGCTATTGTGAATATTATACCATTATTATGGATATACTTAAATACATTCATGCTTCCATATTTGTCTGGATATTAAAATTTACAGATATCTTTAAATATGATTTACAATTTATTTGGTTACCACAAAGTAAAATGTTGGGTCATTGTAATTATTTTAATTTTTAGAGACATCATACTTTTTCATGTGGCCATAATTTTACATCCAGGCTGCAAAATGTTATATTTCTCATTCTTGCACAAAAAGTCTTTCTTCTTTTAGTTATGCAAATGGCCATCTTAAATATATCGAGATATCTTATTTTTGTTTAGTTTGCATTTCATGGTATTCATAGCAATTTACGCTTTCTATATACATATTAATTGTTGTATATCTGAAAATGCTTTATTCAGGTTCTTTACTCATTTTTTCAATCTTTTTAACTTCAAATTTTATTATTACCCAGATGTGATTTATTTATAGAATAAACATATCATGAGTTGGTTGTGATTATTTTCCATCCACCCAGGTATTAGCTATAGGCTACAGCAGTTATTCTGGCCTCTTCTTGCCTCCACCTCATAAGTACACCCAGTGTATTGTTCCATATGTATGTTTTCTCTGTTGGGTTCCCTTACAGTGAAAATGTTTGGCAGTGTGCATTACTCTATTCCTGCTTTAGTTTGCTGGTCAATGCCTCAATTCCCATCCACGTCTGCTGAAAGAGGCGTTTCCTTCTTCTTTGTGACCATAATTATTTTTATTGCGTTTGCCACCACATTTATGTCCATTTTCTCACCCAATTGGGCTGCATTGGTTGATTCCACCCATGTCTTTCAATAATGCAGATAGTTACTGTATTGAAAGGAAGGCGACATGGCCAGCAATCTTATGAAAAAACCAATGTCATAATCATGCCAAATCATTGAAACCACATTGGATATCTACTCTAATTAGATAATTATTAATAAAAAATAAAAAAACCGTGATATTCGGCGAATGACTTCCACCATTTGGTAGAAGTCTGGTCAGTTCAACATTGTGAAGCCAGTGCATGGTCCTCAGAGCAAAGACAGGCTGTTAAAGACTAGCAATCATTCTGCCGATGTCTACCCAAAAGGAAAATAAATCATTATATATAAAAAATGCTTTTACTTACATAAATTATTACCTTTGTACTTATTTTAATAGAGTAGGAAGTTTCATTTGGGTCTTAATTCTTGAGACATATCACTTTGGATACAACATATCAATCATGCGGTTTTAATCATTTCTCCATACCATTGTTGTTTCACTCTGCTGCTTGTTTCGCTGGCTACAAACCTTCATTTGATGTCCACTTGTCAGTGTACTTGTCACCTGTGCTTTTTAGTGTCATATCTAAATATCGTGCTAAGCAATGTCAGTTTTCCATCATATTCTTCTGTGTTTTACAGCTATATATTTTTTTCCTCTTATCTAGCACTAAAATTTTGTATCCTTTAACTAACATTGCCAACACTTCGCACCCTCTCAACACAGCTCATAATAACGTCTTCCACTTTTTCTCTTATGCAGTTCATCTTTGATTATATAAATGCGTCATGCATTCGTTTATCTTTCCTATGCCTGGTTTATTCGCTTATTACTGTTCCCGCCAGTTCTCGGTTGCTACCAGCGGCAGGAGTGCTTGCTTGAAAGGCTTAATAGTATTTCATTGTATATAGATTTCTTATTTTAAAAATTAACTATCCTTGATAAACAAGTTGCTCCTGCCTCAGCTATTGTGATAGTAAACAATAATATAAAAAAGAACAGATCTGCTAAACATAGTGTTTGTTTTCCACTTGGATGTATACACAGTAATTGAGATTTTGGATCAGTTTCTACTTTCCATTTAAGTCTTTAAAGTCCTTTCATTAGTTTTTTTATAACTGTTGACAGCCAGGATCAATACCAGATCCTGCCATGCTGGTGTCTATTTTCCCAACTGTTGTGAGGAGACCATCCTTTCTTCAATGTGTTCTCTTATTTACTCCATCCACTCAGTCCTATAAATATCCTCTTACTATTATACAGCTATTTCAGCTCATCTCCTCTATTTCCTTTACATCTCTATTACTCTACTTAAACACACAATATATATTGAAATGGAAAATATGCCCAGGCTGTTGTTTTGGGGTTCAGGTTGCAGTTCAGGGCGTTTGTGATTCTGTGTTTAATTTTAGTTATTTTTATATTTATTTAGAATATTGTGAGGCTGGTTGAGACAGTGGAGATGACAGCTAGGTGAAACCACCGTGATAACATAAGTAAGAAAACCCCCGTCTCCCAATAATAAATAAAAATGGGATTTTTGGTACTAAAGTAATCTCTCAAATGGTAATATTCTCTCATCTAAATAGTTTATTTGTTTGTACAATTCCACTTCCACAAGAAGAATCCTCATTGATTACTTTAAAAATTAGGGATTAGGGGACATAAGTAACAGATGATATTCTTCCTACCTCCAAAATCCCATATAAAATCTCTGGAATCATGTAGAAATCTCTAGATCTCCAATTTTTGTGTGCTTTAGGAACCAGTTACACATGCTTTTAGGGTAGAAATAATTCCTGGACTATCTATAATTTAGACATGCTCTAATTTCTTAAAAACAAGTTTAGCCTGACCTTTAGTGCCCTTAATCCAACTGGAGTACTGGAGCTCCTATTCGGTCTTATCTTTGCATACCCTCTGCTCAGTCAGACCAATAAACTCTGTTCTTGTGCAAACTCCTGAAATCTACAGTCTCTAATTTTGTTTCTGTGGGTCTTTCTACTTGCAGAATCACCTTCCATTTCTTCCAGATCCACATTCTATCAATTCTTTTTATTTTTGAGACGGAGTCTCCTGTTGCCCAGGCTGGAGTGCCGTTTGCGCTGATCTTGGCTCACTGCAAGCTCCATCAGTTCATATGCATTCTCTGCCTCAGCCTCCACAGGTAGCTGGGACTACAGGTGCCCGCCATTACGCCTGGCTGATTTTTTTATATTTTTGGTAGAGACGGGGTTTCACCGTGTTCGCCAGGATGGTCTCGATCTCTGACCTTGTGATCTGCCCTTCGGCCTCCCAAAGTGCTGTGATTACAGGTATGGAGCCACCGCGCCCGGCCTCTATCAGTTCTTTGACAACTCGACTTCCAGGAAGCCTTCATACCACATATACTTTCTTCCAATTTTCACATAGCTCTTATCTTCCTGGATAGACTTGTAATTTTAATTTAACATTATAGCTATGGGTTCCACTTCTTATGCCCTAAGATGTTATCTCTTTAAAATATTGTCATTTATTGAATTCATCATTATGGAGAAGTCATTTTGTCACAACTTTGAAATAGTCTGTACTTGAGAGTAAATTTATTAGTTTGCTTTTCTAAACATAAGAACAGTGAGAAGCATTCTTCATTTCCTGTAAGTATTTACTGAATTTAATTGAATATAATTTACGTCTGATTATGCATACTGTGGTATGGTTTGTTTACATGATGCATGGCCAATAAATATGTGTATACTGAAGAAGCATTAACACTCATCATGAATACTCAACTTGAGAACCAGATAGTTTAGTAGTTTTCATATATACCATCTTATTTCATCCAATTGAAAAGAAAGAGCTTCCCTATGAAGATAAGTCATTTTATCTAACAAAAGAAGTGTAGGATTAGAAGACATATTGTACTGTCAGGCTATTTGTTTACATTCATGTCTATCTTCTTTGTACAGCAAGTACATTAGCTGAAATCATAAATGAAAGACTGACAAAATAAATATCTCAGTGAATTTCTAAAGACTACACCCCTAAGTCCTTTATACGATGTGGCACCTGAGGGTGACCTGAAATTATCCTGGATCTTACTTCCTGGCTGTGCTCTGTACCGCTTTACCTTAAGTCTCTAACGCATAGACACCATCAACCACAGGCCCTGGAGCAGCTGCAGTATCCTTCCAGGAGCAGACGATCACAAGTTTCAATAAGCGTTATAGAATGGAGATCCAGTCATTTTCCTCCTTCCCTTTAATTTAATTACCTTTGGTGCCTTTGGGAGCTGAGACAAAAGACAGTGTTTATAATATTTTTATAAGAAATATCCTACTCGTCTCAGGACGGTTTGGTGTACCTGGGAGTCCTGGATTGTGTGACCCAGGAGGCTCACAGAACTCATTAAAAGGTAAAGTCAGCCCAGGCCTGATAGATAGAAGATTCCACAGAGTTCGTGAGTTTCTTTCCAGACTTTATTTGGACTGTCTGGGATTTCACTCTGGAGCTGAAGTTGAATAAGACCCTATCACAGAAAGATGAGTACAGAGATGCCTTAGGCTGATTCAAGGTATCAGCAGGTAGCCTGGTTGTGAGTGGTATTAATTGCATGATCTGCTCAACACCGTCATCTCTTAGGTTTCCATTTGTATTTGAGACTAGGTCAAGTCTGTGAAATGAGACAGAGTATGTCGAAGAGCTCTAGGGAATGAGAGCCTAATTCACTTAAGAAAAGTAGAGTCTACAGTGCAGACTAAATTATTCAAGACGATTTTTCTTTGTACAATTAGTACTCTAGCATTCAGATTACAGATTGCTAAGACTTTCTAAAACAGATGCTTTGTGATCCTGTTTTCCCCTCTGCTTCTTACTATTGTTTAGAAAATGACTGACCAGATAATTGTAGACGAGAAATTACAAAGAAAAGCCTATCTAATAAAAATATGTGTGTGTGTTGATACTTTGCATTGCTATAAAGGAATACCTGAGCCTGGAGTAATTTATAAGAAAAGAGACTATGGCTCATAGATTCAGGCTGTACAAGCATGGCACAGCATGCTTCAATTAGGACCCCAGGAAGCTTTACTAGTGGCAGAAGGTGAAGGAGGCACACAATGTGTGCATGGCAGTGAGAAAGGAAAACAGAAACAATTCAGACTTTTGCTTTTTCTTAGATCTTTATGTAGACTCATTTTTACAAGGATGATACCAAGAGTATTCATGAGAAATCTGCCCTGTGACCAATCCTCCCATGGCGCTTCCAACGTAGAAGTCACATTTCAGCTTTATGAAGTTTGGAGGACACATCCAGACTACATCAGCATGCTACACGGATATTATTCTTATCATGGAAGGATATAACTTTTCAATGCCTGTGCGTTCCTCCTCATCTACAAAAATGATTTTGTGTTCTAAAGTCACTTGAAGCATGTCTTTATAATTTGTGCCCAACACTAAATTTCTGATGGTGAATATTCATTTTACTTTCTATGTTGTGATTTTTCTCTTAAACCCAACATATGTATGTCCATGCTGGAATTCATAATAATTGTTTCAATGAGTTACATTTATCTGAGTATTAATATTCTGATGAAAACCTGACAATATCATTCCATTATATCATTATTCACTTTCATTTTCTATTATGCTTTCTTAAACATTTCTTAGAAATTCATGAGCAGAAGAATAACACTGTCAAATGAATATATACTTTCTTAGAGTTTATAGAGAAGTATTGTTATCACCCAAAACTACATTTTTAGCTGGGCGGTGACTCACACCTGTGAGTGTCAGCACTTTGGAAGGAAGAGGTGAAAGGATTACTTGAACTCAGGAGTTTGAGACCAGACATTTGCAGAGCAATATAGTGAGACCCTGTCTCTGTAAACTAGGAGCAAATCAGCTAATTTCTTGGTACACCTGTATTTCTCAGTGCTAAGGCTAAGGTGGAAGGATCGCCTGAGCCACAAGGAAGTCAGGATGCAGTAAGTCGTGATTTTGCCACTGCACTCTGGCTGGAGTAACAGAGCAAGACCTCATCTCGAAAAAAACAAAACAAAACAAGATTACTTTCTTGTTACATTTAGTATTCAGAGATTTTTAAAAATAGCTAACACTATACAATTCTTTTAGCATTCTTGTATTTTTTTTCTAAAATAATCATGGTATCTTTTTACTATACCGAATGTTTGCTATTTATAATATTTATCCTGGATACTTTATTTCTGGCTCTTCTTTTTGGTCCCACAGCTCAGTTTCTACCATGAATGAAGTGGACAAGAAATTTACATTTGATATTCATTAATTCAGGCATTCATTTAGTAAACATCTGGCAACAATTACTTTATACTCAGCACCATTCAGATCCACAGATACTATGCACTTCAGGTTTTGTTTGTACTTGGATCAGATATCTCCCAAAGTTTCCTGCCAGCATTTTATCACTGGTGCAAGTTTCATGTGCACAGAAGTATTGAACGTTTATGTTAAGGAGAGGCTGCTAAGTCTAGAAGATGGCAAAAAGACAATAAACCCTGTCAAAATACCTTTTAGCTCCCTTACACAAGACTACTTTCACTATGTTCTCGTTTCTTATCCTTCAGGCAAGAATCCCAGTTCAAACATCAGTTTGCCAGGGTGCATCAGGCTTTTGTCTTTCAAAACGGAAGTGTTTATCTTTAACCATACACACGGCAAAGACCTTCTAGCCAATATCGAGAAAAGGTGTCAGAAGAGAGGCAGCTGGATCCCCCAGGTTTGAGACAAATGACGTTACTGTTCTTACATCTTTACGCATGCAAGAACCAAGACCCTCAGGAGAATAGCAGTCACTGGGAATCGTAGGTTTCCTTTCTTCATTTCTGTAGTGCCTCATTATGAATATATTCCTTTATAATGTGTTTCTCAAAATTTTTGTTAAATTCCATATAGAGAAGAACTATGTGTATACGAACATCACATAATGAAATGTGTATAATTATCACACTTACTGCAATTTACAAATTCCTCTCCAATATTGCAAACTCTGTCACTGATATCTGTGGCTTCCTCATATCTGAAAAAGAAAATCCTCTACTAATCGAAATAACTAACTTCAAGATAAAAACAGACATATAATATTTTCTATTACAGTGAGTCCTATATTGTTCAGTATTCTTTTGCAAAGTCACAAAAGGTATATTGAAGTTTAAAAACCTCTAGAGAGAACTGGGGTGGTGAAATATGCAGCATAATCCAGTACTGGGAGGCGGGGGCTTGCATGAATCACTTGAGCTCAGGAGTTTGGTTAGCCTGGACAACATGTGAAACCCCATCTCTACAAAATACCCAAAAACAGCTGGGCATGGGGAACATGCCTGTAGTCCCAGCTACTTAGGAGGCTGAGGCAGGAGAATCACTTGAGCCGGGGCCAGAGGTTGCGGTGCAATCATCCATACCACTTATCAACCTGAGACCTCAAAAAAAAAAAAGGAAAAAAAAAGCCTATAAATAAATAAATATTTTAGCTACATAATTCCCTGAAAATACATTGGTAGCTTCGGGTCAAAGGAATAAATGCAATGTGATTTACCTGCCTCATCATTTTTATGTAAACTCACTGTAATTTTTAAATGAGAATTTATGCATATATATATACCTTCTAGTATGTTGGAGATAAAGTAGATATTTAAATTTTTGGCACTGTGGACTGGATCCATAAAAGAAAGAGTCATTATGAAAATAAGAAAGTGATGTGGCAGAAAAGAGATAAGATGTGGGAGTATGTGTTTGCATGTGTGTTTAGTGTGTGTGCATGCGTGTGTGTATTCTCAGAAATGTAGCCTAGGATCCCATTTGAGTTTAATTTC